ATTAATGACTGTTGTGATTGACAGTATTCACATGCTCAGGTAGATTTGTAACTGGTTGACGTGGTTTGTGTGCTTCAAGGCTTTGACTGAAAAGCGACATGTTAAATTCATTGTTACTAAATGTCTTATCTGCAAATCTCCTGTGTTAAACCAGGCTTTCTGAGAAACCAAGAGACATTTCTGAGCAAAGAACTCTGAGGAAACAGTTACTGATAATTTAAGATGAATGATTTAGAAATGAATTATGCAACAAAAAATAAATCTCTCTTCAGTGTTTTGCATTTAACTTCTTTAATGTTAAAGTCATAAACCCTGCGTGAGAAGTGATAAGATTCTGCTGAAGGTCATTAGCAATGGCATAACAATTCTGAAATTATGTCTAGCTCACAAATTTAAGTTAGGTAGACCTTGAATTCAAAGAAAAGATGTGGTTTTAATGTAAATTAAAACAGGTTCTTACTGGCCACTAATCAAGTGTTTACCTGTTTCCATTAAACCCACACTGAATTTAATCAGTATGTTTTCTAATGCATGCATTTCTCCCTAAATAAGAAGTGCATTTGTCATTAATATTTAAATTGGATTTTAAATCCATGAAAATTAAATTTAAATAAAAAGTGAGGTGTTTTTTCAGGGTAGAAAGTTAATGTCTCCAAGTTCTGTTCAACAGCTGTAAACAAATTTTAAAGTTAATGTTTTTTGAGAGATTTTTTCTTAACATTTGGGATTAAATGCTTTCCACTGCAAAAGACTTAAATGTAACTAAAGTTTATGTAATATTATAGGTAAATAAAACAAGGTTTAGTTTCTTGGAACTAAGTAAAACTACTGCTGACTAATTGAGAAAGTGGAAGAGTACAGCGTATTTTAAATATAAAACGTATATAAGGCAGTAAGTGGTAAGACATTTTGCACTACTCTGTAACTACTGAGTAGGATATGGGAATAATTATATCTAATTGTCATGATGTATTCTTAGCTTTTAAATACACATATAGTATAAACTCCACCTTCATTTCTGTGATTCCTATTATTACCTTACAGATTTTTTAATTTCCAACTTGTTTTTAATCATAATAAATAATGATTTCAGTTCTCTACAGTGGTATGGATTAAGAAACCAGACTTTAATCAAAATTTTCCATTAATTTTACTCTGAGAATAATAGAGATGTCTGAAACAAAAAACCTTACGCTTTCCTATTTGTTCAATTAATTGTTTACTGTGGATCCTTCTTGCAAAACTGGGCATGTATAGAGTCTCAGCCTTCATTATAGGTTCTTTTCAGTTTGATACATTTTTGCTACTTATCTCTACTTTTCAGACACCTGTGCTCCAGTTATTTTCTGATTATTTTGCAGACATTTTGGATTCAGACTTTTTTTCCTTTGCTGTTGATTTTTTTCATATGGACACAGCTTTTGAAACAAAACTTTGCTTGATTTTGTTGCTTTGTTTTAAAGCAAGCTCAGGCAATTGAAGCATGAACTGCATATTTGATTCAACTGGTATAAACCAAATCAGTGTGGAAAAATTACCACTTTTAACTGGAATTACTGAAAAAAATTTTCACAGATCTTAAAGCAAGTGTAATTGATGTACACATGTAATTCATGTAAATCTTCTTAGTCAGCTTAAGTTCTACATTAACTTGAGTGCAGTACACATCCAGTGAGAAATGGGCCAGCCTTTTTGTGGTATGTCGTTAGTGGTGACAATAGAAAAGGCAGCAAGTATTTGAGTCAAGACTGTTACTTACAGGGTTAGAATTTCTGGCATTTGAAATCAGTAATGCCATTGACAAATCTTCAAATATACACCAAATATCTGAGGGAAGAAACCCCTTGATGAGCTGTGGTGTTGGACCCCAATTTGGAAAAGCATACCACAGGTAGCTTTATTCCCCCCCTTGGACCTGGTTTCCCCTGCTGCTCTGGCAGCTGCCAGGACTGGGCTTGGTTTCTGGTGTACTTCAGAGTGTTATCAATACAGTACCCAATTTTGGTTTAAAGTATAAGTTTTATTAACCTGAGTAAGCGACAGCAGATAAAACAGCGCTGGGTGCGCCGGGCAGCCCTCCGCTCCGCCCAAGACGCGCACACGCGGTCCCTGGGAGGCGGTCCTTTATCTTTTTCGGATCAAGGCCCCAGCCAATCCTGTCGCCCCTCCTCACTCGGATGTTGACATGGCTCTTCCCCATTGGTTCCCTTTGTTGCAGGGGGGGGTCTCATTACCGAGAAGTTTCGAGAAGCTCCCAGAGGCTTGGAGAAGCGTCCACTGCCAGCCCCCTCACCGTCGCAGCCCCCTCCCCTCAAGCGTTGCAACAAGACACCACTTCGAGCCACCCAGCCCCCTTTTCTCTCTCACAATCCCGCGCAACAATACAACTGACCTCTCCCCATTACTTACAGAGTACAACAGTTACAGAGTCAAAAGGAGTATTGTTTCACATAACGACAGCCACAGAGGGCCTCCCTCCCCCCAGACTTCTTGATGAACAAACCCCACACATTACAAGAGCATCAGAGTTTGAGCAGAGAGAATTAGTTAACTGAACCTAATGCACCTCATTCAGATATCCACGGAAAAAAGGCTTGCATATGTTAATTTCTACGAATGCATATTATACATATATAAACACACAAACCTGCAGCATTTCATGCTGTAAATAGAAACCAGAATACAAGGAAACAAGGAGTTGGCAAATCATGAATAAGTTTATCATTTTATCTTCTTCAGCAAGTCAGAGCACATACTCCCACAACTTACCCTGTCTCTTCAGAGTAAGCTGAACAGACCACTGCCAACTCAACTTCCTGTGAGTAGTTGATGTTTTAAGACATTTGAAATTAAGCATTTAGTAAAATCCTGGTTCTGTTGAAGTTGATTTGACAGGACAGGTATCATGGACTCAGATAAAGCCAGAAAGACACCCCTACTTTTCCAAAAACAGAGCTGTGTTCTCTGCTGATTTATTTCTATTTGGCCTTCAAGGTTTATCTCAAATAAGCTAGCGGCAATGGATTTGTATTGGAGATGTGGTAATGCTCATGATGTTCTTTAAACAAGCATAGAAGTGCGCATGGGAAAGGCTCTCAGAAGGCTGGTTACTATCACTTGTCACTGTCATAGAGGGTCTTGTATTACTCTTTAGTCACTGAGTCAGTTAACTGCTGCTGGAAGATGAAGGGTTGGATATAAATGATGTAAATGTGCATGAACAGATGCATTGTACCGTGATACTGTCTGTCACTCAAATTCACAGAGTGTAGAAAATGTTATTCTTTGCTAGAAGAGCATGGTTTCAGCAGTTTGAGGAGCTCTTTTATTGTTAAATGCTAATGCCTCCTAACCTGAGTAAGTACTTTACTGAGTAAGTACTTTATTAACCTGAGTAAGCGACAGCAGATAAAACAGCGCTGGGTGCGCCGGGCAGCCCTCCGCTCCGCCCAAGACGCGCACACGCGGTCCCTGGGAGGCGGTCCTTTATCTTTTTCGGATCAAGGCCCCAGCCAATCCTGTCGCCCCTCCTCACTCGGATGTTGATGATGAAGAAAAAGTATATATATTTATATATATATTGTCCAGCGCAGGGCAACCAAGATGATTAAGGGAGTGGAGCATCTCCCTTATGAGGAAAGACTGAGGGAGCTGGGTCTCTATAGTTTGGAGAAGAGGAGACTGAGGGGTGACCTTATTAGTGTCTATAAATATATAAAGGGGGAATGTCACGAGGATGGAGCCAGGCTCTACTCGGTGGCAAACAATGATAGGACAAGGGGTAATGGGTGCAAACTGGAACACAAGAGGGTCCACTTAAACTTGAGAAGGAACTTCTTCTCAGTGAGGGTGACGGAACACTGGAACAGGCTGCCCAGGGAGGTTGTGGAGTCTCCTTCCCTGGAGACATTCAAAGCCCGCCTGGACACATTCCTGTGTAACGTTATCTAGGTGTTCCTGCTCTGGCAGGGGGATTGGACTAGATGATCTTTTGAGGTCCCTTCCAATCTCCAGCATACTGTGATACTGTGTGATACTGTGATATATATATATTATTTTTTATATTTATACGTATATTTTCTTCTACACTGAAGAAAAAGTAGCAGACACAGGCAGGGACAGACTTTGAGAAAGGTCATTCACACTACAGACAATGAAATCTTGAAAGCCATAGAGTTGAAGACAAAATTCCCCAAGGCTTTAATGTAATCAAGGTTTCACTCTTGGTTCCTAACCTGGGTACTTGCTACTTCGAAGTTTTCACATGTACTCTCTCCTTCTTTGTCTTTCCTTTCAGCAGTGGTACTTGTGTATCTTTGACATAGAGCAGTACAGCTGCTTTCATTCTGTGGGTAAAAATTTGGGAAGGAGTGGTCTAGCAACAGCCCATTACAGTCTGGGAACTAAGTTTTATTTACTTGTCTATAAGGGATGTTTTCCATACTGACCTGAGTGCTTGAATGAGAAACTTTTCTCCTTCACAGCTGTCATCCAATCAAGTTCTTTTCCTCATGAATTTTTCTTGACTTCCTCCTTAAATTCATTTGAAGGCATCTTGCCTTAACTTTGCTGAATTCACTGTTTTGTTTTTTTTAGCAAATACGACTCTGCCTTGTTTCACTTGTAACCATGCTCTTTGTGATAGGTTTCACTGTTAAATATTATTTAATTTCTGTTTTTCTGTATATAAATTAAAACATCCTGCTTGTGTCAGTGTTCTGAATCTGACCATTGCCTTATTGTAGGTACTGTGTGATTAGAGAATTGTGATTTGGTATCATTGTTGGTCACTTTGTACAGCTAAGTATACCTATTTGTAATTCAGTACAACATAGGTATTTGTGTAGTACCTGTTTTAGCACACAGATAGTAGCAAAGCACTTTGCTTGGACTAGTATAGACTCTAGCCCATATCTTGTTGAAATATTTGCTCTATAGGATTTATAAAAATTCTTTTTATTCAGTAATTTTATTACCTGATATTTTTATAGGGCATTTCTTACCACTTCAGAACTGGCCAAAACTGGACAGATTTCCTTCACTGGCAAAAAATGATGGTATAAGAATCAGACAAGGAATCGCAATGGACAGGTAAGAATATTCTTGTGTTTCCTATTCTTGAATACAATTGTTAGTCTCTAGCTTTTGACTCATAGGTCCTTCCACAAAAAGAAATATAAGCATGGATCCATTACTTTCTTATTTAACAGTTAGTTTTCAAACTATTCCAAATATATTTAAAAAATTAGAAAATGCTCTCTATTTGCTTTATTTTTACTATTTAAAGCAAACAAACAACCCCAGAAACTACTTGGGAAAAGAGCCCTTGTGTGTCAGAAAGCTTGAACGATAGAGAAAGGAAATAGTATCAAAACTATTGTCAGTGTTGAAAAAAAGGAACTTTGGATTTCATAAATGAGTCTCGTAAATGTGCCTTCCCAGTTCCAGTGATTGTAATTTGATTGTTCTTATTGACTGCTTTACTACAGTTGCAAGATGTGTATGAGACGCCTAATGCAATCATCACTTGCCATCTAGTGGCAATTTGTGAATTACCACAGTTGCTTAAATTCAGTCGAGGTTATGTCCATTCCTTTAGGAGAGGATTCCTGTTTGCCCCTTCATTATCTCACACAGGCAAAGCCAGCTCCTAGGCAGAGTGACTGTAGGTGGTACGAACAGGTAATATGACTATTGACATTGGGGTAGACCAGATAAAACATGAGACGTGTCAGTAGATGAAACAGGGATACCAGACCCAGCATTATATTTTGCAGTCATATTTTTAATTTAATTATTTTTATTTAGTAATATTTTTCATGTTGTATAGAATATTCCTTTGCTTTTAGAGTAATGCCTTTGTTTTCATACACCTGTAACAATGCCAGTTTTGTTGCAAACTACTGTTACTTCTATATCATTAATTCATGTGACAGCATTCAAATAAGTTTGCTAACAGGAAGACAAAGGGTACTTGCAAGAAATGTTCTGAAACTGCTTAGTATCTAATGCAAATCTTCAGCAATGCATTTGAGTTTGCATATGACGGGCCAGGAACAATGTCATTTTTGCCCAAAATAAGCTACTTTGTCTAGGGAGTGGAAAAGAAAATCTTCTGTTGTAGGGAATCCAGTCTTTTCATCATCTATTCAAACTGAAATGTACGTTTGTGTCCTGTGTTCTCACTTGCCCTATCGCAATTGTTCTCATGTCCGGTTGTCTTATAATAACTTGTTCCCATGATTTGTGACGTCTATCTAATACAGTATGCCAAAATACAACTTGACACAGAAACTCTAAATCTTGGAATTGTTCAAATAGAAATAAGGTAGCAAACTGTGTAGCAAAAATACTTTATCACACCATGGTGAGGTGAATATAGACTTCAGCGGCAGTTAAATACAACTTCTGTCATTACTGTTGATCAGAGTGATATATATATATATATAACATGTTCATTATACTAAATAAACTTAACTGACTCTGTAGCTGCTTGCTGTCCTTATTACATGAAATGGAAGCTAACTGGTCTGCTAAAAATACTGTACTCAAGAGCTGAAATTATAAGGGAACATCAGGCACTCTCCCAAGAATGGAAAGTAGGCATTTCTAACAAGGCTCAAAAGGCAGTAGTGTTGATGTGCATATGGCTATACCATGTTGTGACTCCTTTAAAAGAAAATAGATATTCATTAAATTGCAGCCCTCGGATATGATCAGTTGAATCTAGCTTAATGTGCAGACCAAGTTGTTAAATTACAACTGGACACTTTTAAAACCAAAACCACCTAGCTTTTAAAGAGCTGGTAGCTTTAGATATTTAGTAATACAGATGTGTATTCAGTTGTTTAAAGGTACTATGTGTTATTGGAGCCTAGATAGATATAGTGGCATATGTCCAGAGTCATGTGATTTAAGGATTCCTAATTGCAACCTCACATTAAGAAAAGTACAATTGTTCTGTTTTGAGGAGGGAAGATGGGCAGCAGGCTTGCCTATAAATTGGCCTCAAATAATTTGTGTCCATCACACAATTATCCATTTGAGTACAGACTGATTTTGTCTGGCTTCATATCTGGGTATCAGAAGTAGTATTTAAACGTGTACAGAGTTTGGATGTGCCTCTATAATGTGGCTCTGGCTGAAGATCTGTGCTTACAGACAAGACATGCATGCTCATTAGGAGAGAAACTTCCTGAACTATGGTGATCAAATATGTGGTAGCTGAACAGTGGTCCAGCTGGATGCAAGCAAGGCTTTGCAAGAAGAGAAAAAAAAAAATCTATTCTCCTGAGCTGCAGCTGAAGCTTACTAAACATGTAGTGGTTTCTGCTTCTCATTAACATAATATGCGTAAGTGAGTAAATACGCCTTGAAACATGAAACTGAACCATCTAATACCTTGGCAAAATGGGGTGTTAGAGAAGGGCAAAGGTGTGTTTGATATATAGCTAAGGCGTTTTCCCCTTTTTTTCCCCTCTATTTCTGTTTTATCATTAAATGGAATTAAAAATTGTAAGGAAGCTTCGTACCTCAATTCTGCACCTCTGATTACGAGTGAAATAATTTTCCTGTGAATTCACCGAATTCACTGTAGTCTAGAGTATTTATTAACTAGGATTTAGTGCTTAGCGTAAATTTTTGGATCATCAGCTACAAAAAGTCTAGGATAAAGAACAAATGCACTAAGCCCAAATCCAGCAACAAGCCTCACTGAATTAGAACATAAATCTGTTATCTATAACTGTGTGTGCTGAAATCAGAGTTACCCAGAACAGGCTCCTGTTAACGTATACTACTAAGCTACACTGTAAGAAAAAGGTCAGTATAGTGGGTGTTTCTCATTTCCCTTCTTTTCCATTTCAAAGACAATAAAACCAGTTAGTATAAGGGGGATGAAAAAAAATGTGGGCATGTACAGTGCTTCTATTTCTGACAATATAATAAGGTCCTGTATTCATACTGTTCTTGTACATGAGGTCCTCCAACTGAGCTGCTGAATTAGAAACCATGCACCATCTAAAAATCCCAATATCTTTCACTCGATTCCTGCTGTCGATGATTGATTCCTACCATCGTAGGTTTTTTTTACCTAAAGGAGGTTGGGATCATATTGCTACAAAATCTGTAAACCCTAAATCTTCTTCTTAGAACTCTTAGATTTCTATCTAAACTCAAAACTCACTTCCCTATGCAGTTGTTACAGCTGCAAGGGACATGCATGCTTGGCATATTGTCCTCACCCACCTCCAGAACTACTTGGTGCACTGCAATGCAGTAGGTTGGCAATTGCTTGCTAGCTGCTGTGCACTACCGTAAAGAAGGGGCAGCAAGTGTCAACAGTATTTCTCGCACACACTGGAGATAGTCCTGGGACTGTAAGGAACAGTGGAAAGCCAATTTAAGTGGTCTAAATCTCCTCTGTCATGAAAATATTTCTGTTAAAGATAGCAGGGAACAGTTTAGTGATTGAAAACTGTAGGCACATTCTCATCGTTTTAGAACTTCAAGAGTCATAGGTGCCTCAGAGACCATAAATGGGGTAATCCTGATTTATGTCATTATGTCTCTTTCTAATGGGCTCTCACTACAGAATTTGCTGGCAGTGACATCTCCCGTGCTGACAGAGGCCTCATTCAGAATTTAGAGCCTCATCCCTTGTTCAGGAGATCAGGCCACCGGAGCAAAGGTTGCATTTTTTTTATGTCATCTGTCATGAAATGAAGTCATATTCTCCAAATAAGCTTTCAGCAAAGGTAGTATATAATGAATTGCAGATAAATTGTCACTGAGGCCCGTGCCATCTGTTTGAGAAGAGGTATAAAAGGCAGTTATACATCACGTTAAACTTAGCAGTTGCTCTTTTGTGGGAAATAAAAGTAGAAAAGTGAGTATTTGGATTATCTTTTACTTTTTAAGCACAAAACATGCTGATATATTTAACAAGTGATCAATATTTCAAGGTTTTCCTTGGAGTTAATCCATAGTGGTCTCCATCCAAAGCTAATGACAGTAGTGCTGATTCAGTTCTAGTAATGGTAAGATAGGCTTGCCACATGTATGTAGAATCTTATTTAATTAAACACCACAAAAAGAAACAAAAAAAAAAACAAGATCAAAGCAATGTGTGAAATTATGTAATGATGGCTCCTGATCATGAAAACCACCAGATTTCTGAAATCTTTAAGCCAGAGGAAAAGTGTTTGGAGGTAAGAGATTAAAAAAGCTGCAAGTTTAAAGAAACAATTGGATATGTTTTTTGAGGTATCTTATCTCAAATATTTATATGTAATGTGACAGTAGTGGAAAGCCAAGGCACATTCCAGACACTGTGTGTCTGAGTAATGACCCTGCCCTAAGTAGATGTTTGAATACAGAGGTATTCAGTACAAATTCCATTGAGTCCAAAGTCATATATGAATTGTGTAACAAAGGTAGGTTTTTATGCTTTATGGTCATTCACTTTTAAAAGGCCTCTTCATTCAGTAGCTTCATTTTGACATTTATAGTCAATTTTCAGCAGGAGCACAGACACACACACACACACTACACCCCAGAATAACCATTATCTTAAGCTTTTTTGAAATCTGTCCACTTTTGATGCCTGAATGCAGTGTTCTGTTCTGTCATTCTGCTCCATCCTATTCACAGAATAACTGTTCATTTAATAACGCTACAATTTTTATTCAAATTTGAATGATTTAAGAAACTCTTAGGAAAAAGTAAAAATACGGAAAGTCGTCTAGAATCTCTAGTTCTAAAATATTGTATTTTTCACTCCCATGTTGGTGCTGGCTGTTGATATATACAGCATGAAGTTCATTTCTTTTTCTTACTACTACACTGATGATGAAGAAAGTCAGAATATTGACACTTCATTCAAAAAATCCCTTCCAAAATTATTCCATTTTTGAAATGGATCCATGGGCTTGGAAGCTGGAGTGGCAATGAGAAACAGAACTTGCTGAAAGACCTTTTGAAAGCTCAAAGAATTTAGCCTTTCAGGTGTGATTTGCTGCCTGATCAGTCTGTAGGTTCACTTTTATTTTCTCCAGAGTTCCTGAGTGGGCTTTGTAGATGAGCTGCTGCAG